ATTATATCGTCAGTTATATCGTTATCGCAAATTTTCAAATATATATCGTGATAAATATTTTTGGCCATATCGCCCTGCTCTAGTTGAATATGGAGCTGGAGTCTGTTTACACAGCACGAGGCGCAAAGAGGCAGCACCATTACTGAGATGGTGAGCTCAGGTAGATGGAAGAAAGCATGTTTCTAGCGTCCAAAACAGCAGCGCTGTTCCTGTAGTCAACTTTAAAACCTTTAATTTGAAACAGCTAGCGGGAGTCCTTCATCAAATCCCCTGATCAACAAAGTCCGACTTGGGAAAAAAAACAACATTTTTTGCTGCTTCATACACTGCTGTTTGTTTTACACAGCAGTGAACCAGTTGTATTAAAATATGCAGATTAACCAAGTCTGACACCATGTTTAAATTATACAGCTTCCAGGCTGACGGCCGACAGCAGAAAGTATGAGGGTAAATATGCTGCAAAATGCCTGAGCTTATAGAATAAAAAAAATTGAGAATTTCAAAAACCACAATTATTAGCACAATTTTAACCATGGGAGTATAGAGGGTGTCTGGGGAACGTGAGTGTGTACGGTGTTCATTTCTGTGTCTCTACATGTTGGATGAATGTGTGAGCATTTGTATATGTGTGCATGAGGGAGTGAATGCATTCTTGTGTGCCTGTTTGTCCGTGTCAGGTCTTACACTCCACCTCTCTTACAACATATCTTAGAATATCTCAGGCGCCCTGGGGGTGAGGGCCTATGAGGTGTACAAACAGGTATTCACAGACACACCATATTATTTGGCTGCTGCCTCTAAATATATTTTGTATTATATTAGTACTGTGTGCTGTTCAGTAACATTTATTATTTATTGTTATTTATGCATATGTCGGTTCTTGCTGTTGTTTCTCTGCTGTGTTATTTTTTTCCAGCAGTTGTTGAAGCAGATTGTGATTACAATAACACTAAATAAAAAAGATCCTAACAAAATATCACCATCAAGTGGATCATTAAAGTAAATGTCATGATGGTCCACTAGGGAAAGTAAAGCCATTTTTTGGTCTTCAGACAACAATTCTGCCAGACAGGACAGAATAAACACAATTATTCCACTATTGATTGAAAATTAGCTCTTCTTTATTTGAAAGTTTCAAACTTTCAAAAACATGTTTAGCCCCATTTTCTGTCAGTACGGAACGTTATGACACCAGGTGGGTTGGTTGCAGTCAATAGACACTTTTGTGTTGTCTCTTGCTGCAACAATCAGTTTTATGTTAAAACCAAGGACATACTCTGCACTGAAAAAGGGAAATCCACCTGTTAACCATAATGTTCAGGCTTGTAATGCACCTTATAAATGAGGACTGTGTGGAGAAGAGCCTGTTTGAGTCAGGTGACAGGTGGTTCACCGGACCGACAACCCTGATTAAGAAAATTATTTTTCCTCATCTAGTCGATTGTACCAATCAGCTGATGCAATCAGTTCTATTTTATGCAATAAAATAGTCTCTCTTTTCCTACGCACATCAATCTAGTTGACAACAAAAGAGCTTTAATACATGCACATCACACCATAAACATGACTATCTTTCTTACCAAAGCACGATCAGGAATCCCATAAGCACGTGTGCTGGGAAAGTTAGAGTTTTTTTCCTCTTGTGTCATCTCACTGACTGGATTGCTTCATTTTAGAAATGAGGAAAAGCGAAATGGAAGTGAAGGATAGAAGGATCGATGTGAAGATTTTGTTTGGTTTGGTTTTTTTCCTGCAGACAGCATGTTCGAACGTGTTTCTGCAAGAAACATTCTTGTGGTGTGATGCACTGGTAGAGAGACTATTTTACTGCATAAAATAGTGCTGAACAGATTTTGCACTCATTTTTGAAGCCAGGGGCAGCACAAAAGTGATCCCTTTAGACTGATTTTTTTTTGTCTTTAATTTCCCCTGAGTTATTGGTTCTGTTACTAGCTAGCTAAAATAAACTAATGTGAGTCTTGACATCAACAACCACCCAATCCGGTGACATGACGTTCCATACTAACAGAAGATGGCACTAAACATGTTTTTAAAAAGTTGACTTCAAGCACTTATTTCTTATATCCAGCTACAGACAGTGTTACATCTATGTCTGTTTCTGAAAGCAGGGCTATATTGTGCCTTTATACAATTAGTGTTTTGTTTTCACTTTAATGCAAAAATGTTATGACTTACTCCGAGTTAGCAAAATTCTAATATTTTATTAGCCTGTTACACATATACATCTCTGTGTTGTATCCAACACACTTCTGGTATCACAGTGGTTTCTGTTTATAGGTCTGCAGAAAAATTGCTCTCTCTGAAGAAGCAAAAAACCTTGGAAAAACAAGACCCCATGGTAGACGATGTTACAGCAAGCCAGTTAATCTCCTGAGGTCACTCTAAACACCAAGGTACCTGTCTATTAAAACAGCATCCACACAGGAAACATTTACGTTCCAAAGGCATTTGCTAATCTAAGCAACCAGACTCACCTGTCTCTTATCCCTTGGCTCCATGGCAACCACAACCACTCTACATGCTCTGCTCCTTGTTAGGCAAAGATGTGGCAAATTCTGTCAGTTCTGCCACACAAAGTCCAGCTCTAGATGCTACACATCTTTGATTCCGGCAGCTGTAGATCAAGTGGCTAAGATGCGCACAGAGAAAGCAGTTCTCTGCCTGTTAAGACCTCCTGCACTGCGTCCTTTGCCAGTGTGACAGAAGAAAAGGGGAGAACTCTCTCTGGGATATCCGGTTTTGTTTACTTCCTCAGGTGCTGCACAGGAATCGCGTCATAACGTTGATGCAGAGCCCTGTGAATAAAATGCAAAGCACATGAACAAAAACGTATATCTAACTGGAATGTCATCAACATAGATGACATGAATAACACCTTGGTGTCATTTGGTGTATAAAGTCCAGGAAATATCACCCAGTGTTAGCATAACAGCAGTACTGACAAGCAGACTGCACCATAGAATCTACTCACCTTGAACACAAGCAGTTTCAACTGACACAAAACCCCAGAGTCAGCAATCTCCTTGGCAAAGAGTTGAGAGTGGTGAGCCAATCGAACAGGCAGACAGACTGAAGGGTGGAGGGAGCACATCAAAGTGGGTGTGAAGGAATGCCCAATACATTCCCTGGATTTGGACAGCAACAGTCTTTCTGACACCGCCATCAGAGAGTCTAGCTCCACAGCCACAACATTACTGGCCTCGTGGATTAGTTTGTTGAGTGTGTTGGCGTTGGTTGATTGGTTGTAAGGTGAATAAAGTGCTTTAAGTGTACATAATAAAGCCCTGTATGTATGATTAAAATGTGACTTGTAGTCTAAACCTCTTTGAGTGGTCAGTATGAGTAGAAAAGCAGTGTATAAATGTGAGAACATTATATCTCTGGAAACTAATGGGAAGAGAAGAAACATGCTAGTAGGGCTGGGTGATATGAGAAAAATCGAATATCACGATATTTTTTGGCTACATCACGACACATATAGCAATATGTTTAAATAAACTTCAAAAATAAATATTATTTTCAACAATATAGTGCCTAAAATTACACTCATTCAAATCGACCATTCAAGGTTTTCTTCTACTTTGAATACAAAACATTTGAATCAATTTAAATGTTTTATCCATTAGTAGCACACACACGTTTTTCACAAATGACAATACTGTCACAGTAAGTCTCTTTCTGTGGTCAACACCAGACCTCTAACAAACTAAAGATCATAGCAACAAAAAAGGACATCAAGCAATAATTGAATAAAACAACTGAAAATAAACGGATGCTCTTTTGTGCTTGTAACATATAAAAATTGTAAAATAAAACATGCGATGACCTCAATTTACAGTAACTATAGTAACTATTAAAACGACTGACCAAGAATAGTCCAGGGTATCACAGCTGGTTTGTTTAATGTTTTCTTTGGTTTATGGGAGATGGTGACATGCAGAGTTTAAAACATTCTTCATTTGGATGACTTTTCAGCTGGTAGAATAATTTCGTGATATTGCTCTCTTTTGCAGCAATAGTTTTACGGCATGTTTTGCAAATTATTGCATTTTGTTCTGCATCATCCCCGTGAAATCCAAATGACAGCAAGTGTCAGTCCCCCGCTCGTCTGACGCTCCCGCTGTCGCCAAATTTTTCCCAATCTGGTAGTATATAAACACGCATGCTCAGCACAGTGTGCCAGGTAGAAAACTTTCCAATTGGGACGGGGGAATTAATGATGCATTCCCGGCGTGTGAGAGAGAAAAAAAATTTCACAGTGAATTACATGAAGACAGCTTAATGTTGCCATGGCAATTTATACTCTATGGTTACGATAAAGCCAACTTAACCATTGTACGTGGAAAAAATTTGATATATCGCCCACCCCTACATGCTAGTGAAGGCATCTACGTGTTTATCAGAGAACCTCTTTTAAACATTTAGATTCACCTTGCCAAGTAGCTGTGAAATAACTCCTGCTACTTATACTGCATCTCCTTGATACTGACATCATCATACTTTTTGGTATAGTTTATTTTTATTCTTAGGCTTGATGTGAAACTTAACATGTAAACAAATGACAAAAGTGAACACTCATCTCTGCACGCATGCCAAATATCTATGATTGTGCAAACTTGTCTCCATAGACGTTATGGATAAACAATGGAAAGACTGTTCATCTGTATGTCCACATCCACAGCAATGCATAATCTCTGCATACTACTGCTGAAATGGTCGCCCCCTCGGCCTTTACCTAAACAACCACTTTCAGCAGCGACCATTTAAGGGGTCACCACAGTAATTATCTGCCTCTTTGCATTCTCTACTGTCACCAGAGCCCTTTTCGTGTCTTCCTCCACTACATCCATGAACTCTCTTACCTAGCAAATCCACATTCAACATCCCTTGTCCAGTATATTAATAATCCCTCATCTATACATCTTCAAACCATCTCAACCTTGCCTCTCTTAACTTTGTCTCAAAACTGCTCAATCTGAGTCGTCCCTCTAATATACTCATTTCTAATGCTGTCAATACTTGCACTGAAAATGTTAACATCTTCAGTTCTGCCTGGGTGATAGACTGGCTACTTGTCCTGGGTGTACCTTGCTACATACCCAAAGTCAACTGGGATAGGCTCCAATCGACTTTACTCCACAAGCCGTGGCAATGAGGCATTGCTAAACAGAATTCTGCCAACATTTTCCCCTATTTGTGAAGTAAATCGTAAACCGTACCTGGCGGTTTCAAAGACTTTTGGTAGATTTTATCCACACATAACGATCGCGTTGACACAAATATGACCAAAAGAGAAAGACGGAAAAATACAAAAGTCAGAATTCTGAATTTGACTTAAAGTAAAATCGTCGCAAAACAAGTGAAAACTCTTATTTGTCGTATGGCTTTACGGGCTCTAGCAACTTTACAGAATGGGTATGAATAAGCTCACGTACACCTTGAGAGCTGTACTTAAAGCATAACCCCTAACACTAACCCAGCCTACAGTTCCAGCATGAAAGCTGTAAAAGCATGTCAGTTTGTCAAATCACAATACTTCGCACCAATGAAAATCTTTTCGCGGAGAACGACAATAGTCGGTGTTTTCACAAGCACCTCTCAAAGGTCAACAAAGCGACATGTCGTGAGTCACATTAGCTATAAATGAAATGTTCTGCTGTAAACAACAGCTATCACAAGACTAGTCTCGATTTGAGCTTTTATTCGATCCATCTTCTTTAAAAGCAAAGCTGTTGTCAGGCCACATATCTCCTTACCTCCATCTCAGAGGCAGATGCTACCGCAACACAGGCGTTGTTTAAACTACACTTCACCGCTGCAATATTCATCATATCACACTGAGTGGGTGTACATTATTAATATATAAGCACTCACCTTTCCTCATTTTCGAGTGTCTCTGCACATCCTGAAAAAACACCTTTTTCTCTCCATATAAACACACTTCAGATGCTTCACTGTGCAGCAGCAGCCATGTTGGAAAGCGTTCAGCTAGGAGGAAGGAAATAATGTGTACGTGCGTGCGCGCGTGCGCGCGCGTTCTTCTTCTTCTTTTCTATTTAAAGGCAGCTTGCATCCAACAATGTTGCACTATTGCCATCTCTTGGGCTATACTGCTACGTCACTTTTATTTCCTTAATAATCAGCTCTGCACATTAGGAGAGTCCAGGTCTTACAGTATAATACTCATGTATTACTGTAATCCTTATACAGTAACGTTAGTTAGTGACTGAGCATCCCGGTGACTTTCTCTAGATTCCTGTAATCAGGGTGAATTAGTTACGGATTAGACTAATTTACCGAAAAAGTACGGCGGGATGCTCGGGTCCTTCGGTGGGTTTGTCCAGTTTACCGAAAAACACCTCAGCTATAATTTTGAAACAGTCGGTCGTGGTTTTGGAAAGTAAACACTTGACCTCTCAGCATCCCCGCTCTATCTGCCATTAGATAGGCAGGTTTCTCCGTGACTGCAGCTGTCAGTCAAAGCTGTTGTGTTGACGTTGGACCCCAATTTAACAGCATTATGGTAGTAATTAGAATCAAACTTATGAGAAAGGACACCCCTTGAACACAAATCAACGTGATGAAAACTACTGATAATGCAAAACAAAATCTTTGGGAACTTTTTTCTTTTATTTTTATTTTAGTCTGACCCCAGTGCCCTCCGCTAACCTAGAGAAGGCGAGGTTTAAGACCTATACTGAAGCCAGACACCAGGGGGCGATAGAGATGTTTTTGCTTCATTTTCGGGGAGCTATTAGTTAGTCCATGTTTTCTGCAGTCATTGGTAATAACTAACTAATAAATTACAGCAACAATTTATTTAAATGAATCAAATTCAGCTACTTTTAAACTTTTACACTTCTTGCAAAGACCAGACTATTATAAGAAGAGGGTAATTCTTGAAAATCCCTGGCTCTGGAAAGTTAAAGTTTGTTACGTGTCATCACTAACTATGAAGTTGTAAGTAATACATGCTTGGTGTTGTATATAATGGATTTATACTAAAAGCCTTTTGCCGTGTTATTCAAATCTGTTGGCATATTTTAAACATTATTGTAGTCTTGGCCTCATTTTGGTCAGCACCTTCACTCTGCATTTAAAATATAATATATAAAAAAGAAACAGAAAAAAGAAGTCGGTGTGGATTTCAAAAGGTAGAATACTGTGCAAGAATTCCTGTACCAAAAATATATTTTGAACATTTAGATTTTATTTTTTATTATGGTCAATAATATTGAGATTTACTGATTTAATGCAGGCTTTTACAGGCTGGGGGTTTTAACAGAAATGCCCATTAATTTTTTATTATACTTGATGATGATGTAGAACCATCTCTTTCTGATCACCTCCTTACACTGAGGAGCTCCTCTGAGTTTTCACTGAATGAGAAGAAGGAGACCATCCAGTACTTCTTTTATTTCAGTTGAAATCATCTCTGAAAGCACAGCACCAGATACCCAGATTACGATTTCATTCTACAGTTTGGAGCTAAATTAACTGTACCTGACTGGACGCTCACTTGTCTGAGTAAAGCTAGCCAACTGACTTACAAACAAGGGAAGAATTGAACCTCAGGAATGAATTAAAGAAAATTACAAACTCTTAAACATACCAGAGACAATTTCCTGGATTACCAGATATGTAATGATTTATTGAATTGTGATTACCTTATTCATATTTTAACTACCTTAATGTCAGTATTCTGCAAACTTCAGGTGGGTTATGTTTGTATCTGGCAATAATTATTTGTATGTTCTGTATCTCTTTGTGCTTTGTCCATGTCAGTTTTCTATTGTAAAGATAGCCCATACTTGTTTGAATTTTGAGTACTTTCATTTTCATTTATAAATCCTTTACAAGGCACAAATAGTCCTCATTTTAGATGATCACACAAAATATTTAACTTACAACTGCCTGAATTAACTGTGAATTACACTATGAAATAAGTATTTCTAAAATCTCTATTAATACAATCACAATGATCTTATATTTTACTCATTACATCTATAAATGTGCATCTGAATACTTTACTAATCACCTATTTAGACTTTCTAAATTATACCAAGAGTTTATCAATCAAGAATAAACATCTGTATTTAAAAAAAATACCAAGGAGGAGTAATGCTTTATAAATGATGAATTAAGCACTTACTAATACCATACGAATGGTTAATAGTGTAACATTTAAAAAAAAAAAGGTACCTCACTTCACTACCTACCTTTCCTTGGACTCAATGAAAACTTCAGTGAGGTCAAGGCTAAAAGATTATGAACAGACGCTAGGATGCACTTTTGCAACACAACCATTGTCTATTGGACTGAATGCAGATGATGTGACTGTCATGGTCCGCAGTCCGTGCCAGTTGACCTGCCATGTCTATGTTGTGTTTTGTTGTTGTTCTCTCCCAGTCACTCATTTCTACCTTTACTTGTTGGCGTGTGTGTCCGGGTTTTCCTGTGACACCAGGCCTGGCGAGTTATTCCCGCCATGGGGTCACCTGCAGCTGATCAGCCTCGTAAGGGCAGAGACTTAACAGAGGAGCTGAGCTTCAGTCGATGCTGGGTCATTGTGAGAAACTCTGTCAGTGCCTAGTTAACACTGTGAAAGTGTTGTGTTAGTCATAGGAGCATAGGAAGGTACATAGGTAGATAGGAAGTCCTGCCTTTGCATTCCTGACAGAATGATCCAGAGTGGGGAGGAGAATGCCCTCTGAAGGGCTTTTCTCAACAGCCTCAATTAGGATTTGAAGCGTGAATTGTCCGCTGAAGTCATTAGATGCCTTAATCTCCATGTGTGTTAGTACAAATGTATTATCATGGTTGAGATTCTGTGGGAGATCTCAGACTGTTAGTTCTTAAATTTGATCTCTCTGAGACCTGTGCTGTGAGGCATGGGTTCCCTGAAGGGTCTGTACTTGGCCCATTGCTGTTTTCTTTGTATCTGCTGCCTCTTTGTCTTCTTCTACGTTTTTTAAAAGTAACCTTTCATTGTTACGCTGATCACCTGCAGCTTTATGTTCCTTAAACATTGGAAACTATGCTGATTTGTCTAAATTAGAAATTTGTCTATTTGCAATTAAGGACTTGTTATCTGATAATTTCCTGCTTCTTAATACTGATACGACAGATTTGATGGTCAATCGATCACAAAAATTGATGACATTGTCATAAATTGCAGGGACTTGGATGTGTGGTTTGACTCGGAGCTCTCCTTCAAGTCTCATGTAAAAGAGACAACAAGGACTACCTTTCATCACCTTAGGAACATCAATATCAAACAAATTTTATCACTTGACACTGCAGAGGTTCTTGTCCATGCATTTGTGTCTTTGCACATTTATTATTGTAACACTCTTCTTTCTGGGTTACCAACGAAAAGTTTTAGAGGTTTACAGATGATACAAAATGCAGCTGCTGGCATTTGAACCAAAACTGGGAAATTTGAGCACATTTTCCCAGTACTGAAATCTCAAAGAATGGAGATGCCGGTAAACGTAGGGGTGCTGGTGGGCACAATTACAGACGCCTCCCTACTTGGTCATCAGTGTTCTGCAAAACTCATACTCAGCACCCATACTCACCAGTGTAATGCTCTCATTGATTCGAGTGTTTGATCAATCAAGTGTTTGATCAATGAAATTATTTTCATTGATCAAACACTCAATATGAAATTCAAACTCCCATTGACACCTCTTACTGAACCTCTACAGGTTTCTGCCTTAAAACAGCACTAAGCTCACACAAATCACCCATCGCACTAAGGCCATTCAGCTCTCCCTTTCAGGCAGTCATGTAATTTTTGATTTGTCCTCTGTTCCTACAGTTTACCATGACCTAGCTGAAGTGTTTAGCAAGGACTTGGCTCTCTCACTTCCTCCGCAGAGACCATATGACTGTGGAATTGATCTGCTCTTGGGGGCACCACTCCCCACCAGTCGCCTGTACAGTCTTTGTAAGCCATGGAACCCTACATCACTGATTCTCTGACAGCTGGAATAATCTGTTCTTCCAAGTTCAAGCAGGGTTCTTCTTTGTGGAGAAAAAGGACAAGTCCCTCCATCTATGCATTTACTTTCAGTGGCTGAACAAAATAACCCTAAAGAACAAGTATCTCCTGCCACCACTATCTTCCGCTTTTGAACGGTTACGGGGGCCACCATTTTCATAAAAGTGGATTTAAGGAATGCCTATCAATTGTCCTTGGTGAATGACTTCTTGAAAGATTTCATTAACCACTGTGTTTTTGTGTACCTTGACAATATTTTGATTTTTCAAAATGTCCATAGCTGAACACGAGAGGCATGTTCACCAGGTGGCACAGCAAGCATTCTCCCAAGTCAAACAGAAGTTTGCCTCTGCGCCCATCTTGGTGCAACTAGACTTCTCTCAGCCATTCGTCTTAGAAGTGGATGCTTTGTGTTATCCCAGGACTCCGCTTCACCCATGTGCATATTTCTCTTGTCATCTCTCACAGGCTGAGCAGGAACTGCGACGTGGGACATTGGGAATTGCTGGCAATAAAGCTCACCTTGGAGGAATAGAGGCACTGTCTAGAAGGGATGGCGCAGCCACTCTTCATCTGGACGGACCATAAAAACATCCATACCTGTAAATGGCAAAGTGCCTCAACTCCCTTCAAGCCAGGTTCTTTACTCAGTTCAATCTAACCATCACGTACAGACCCAACTCTCGTAATGTGAAGCTGGATGTGCTCTCTCTGCAAATTTCCTCACTGGACGAGGCCTCCGAATATGATGAGATGATCCTGCCTGCAGCCTGCATCATCGTGGCCCTCAGATGGGAGCTCGAGGGTATAATCAGAAACACTCACCCTGGTCACACATCGCCCTGAATTTCATAGCTAGACCACCACCATCCTCAGGTAATACCACCATACTCACTATTGTGGATCCTTTTTGTTTTAAAGCTACCCATTTCATTGCTCTGCCCAAGTTTCCCACCGCCTTGGAGACAGCGAAGCTGTTGACTGATCATGTGTTCCACCTACATGGCGGAACACATGATCAATCGGACACAATTAGTCAAAACACTGTGTCCGATCGGGGTCGGCATTTCACATCGCGGGTTTGGAAGGAGTTTTGCTCCATTCTGAGCTTCACGCTGGATTGTTGTGAGAAACTCCGTCAGTCCCTAGCTAGCATTGTGAAAGTGTTTGTGTTATTCGCTCGTGTGGATTGTAGTAATGGCTGCCTTTGTGGTTTCCAGAAGAATTGCGGAAACAAGTGGAGAGAGGTGTTTGACCTATTGGACTGCTGTCACACATTTTGTAGTGACTAGGGCTAAACTATGAGCCTAGCACCTCCTTGAACTGACCTTGTGTGGGTGTGTCCTGCATCTCCCTGCCTTAGGTGCCACCTTTTTTGTACAGCTGACTCCCATCAGCAATTAAAGTACTTAAGGCCAGAGAAAGGTGAGCTCTAGTGCCAGAGAGCCTTGTTGGTTGCAGCTAGTGAGCTGTGTGTATGGTGTGATTGCTCCTGCTCTGTGGAGAGGAGTGTGTTTTAGTGACTAATCCTTTTTTTAACTTTACTTTTCAGTTTATTGACCAACACCTGAGTTTTGTTGTTTTCTTTCTTAAGAGGTGATAGCGGCTTGTACGTCTCTTTTGTTTAGTTAATAGGAACATTAATAAAACCATTTAACCATTTTGCCTCCCTGTCTCCTTTTTTTTTTTTTACCCGGACACCTTTTGTTACTTTCCCTCATCTCCTGGACCTTTTACTATATATATATATATATATATATATATATATACTACTTTTCTATAAAGCAAAATTAGAAACAGCACCCAGGAAGTTGCAGAAGTCCCACAGGCAGAAAAGGTGAAAGAAATTTTTGAAACCACCTTTTGTCTTTTAGCCTGAGAGGCCTTTGGATTTTAAAAACCCTGGTAAGCCAAGAAGCAGGAACAATTAAACCAGATGTCAACAGCAATGTGGGTTCCTTCCTGAAAGACAGCATTCTTTATCGCCGGCAGGTTTCCTAGAAGAGTCAGGGATGTGGTATAAATTTGGGGCACTCTGTGCCATGAGGGTCATTTGGGGAAGCATAAAACCATTGCACACACATTAGGATGCATTTGCACTGGCCAGGCCTGTGTGCAGATGTGGCCTAACATCAATAATCCCCTCCAGAGCCTTTACCAATTATTAGCACCCCATTTGAATGGCTGGGAACGGACATCGTCAGACCTGTTGAGAAAAGCAAATCAGGCAACCGTTATTTGCTGGTCATATAATGGTTGCCTGCTTTGCTTGCAGATTAAATTTCAAGTATCTTGAAGTCTTTCCTCTGAAGTGTATAAAAGCAAAATCTGTGGCTTTTTGTCCGGTGCAGTTTTTTTCAAGGTTGGGATTCCCTCATGAGATCCTGATAAACTGTGGAACTAATTTTATGCCATCTTTATTAGAGCAGGTCTACCAGCTTGTTGGTATCAAAAGCCTAAAAACCACTCCTTACCACCCTCAAACAGATTGCCTGACTAAGCCCTTCAAACAGACCCTGAAGCAAATGTTACGCAAATTGTTACATGAAAACTGATATGTGGTCATGAATTAAGGGGCTCTCTCTCTTTACTAAAAGAGACACGGGACGGTGACCAGAGAGCGGCAGAGGCTACTGATTTTATCTCTTATGATGAAAGAGTGACTTGGAGAAGATGACTGAGCTAGCTCCAAGCTTGTATGGCAGATGCCCACCAACATCAGAAAGTGTGATATGATTGGTCAGTCCGGGAAAGGTAATTTAATCTTGGACAAAAGGTACTTGTACTCCTTCCAAGTAATGATAGCAAACTGCTAGCTAAATGGCAAGGACCTTTTCAGATCCAGTAGAAACTTGGAGCTAGCAGGTATAAGATGGCAACATTCATACCTGACACCTAGAATTAATGATATGATTGAGCGCCTTGGAAAGCCTGATACCTCACAACTCTAGTTCTCTGCAAGGGCTATTGGCAGGTGATAATGTGTTCCTTTATCTACCTTGAGAAATCACCAGTACAACACTTCTTCCTTCAATTATTATTTAGTAAAGCATAGTAAAAAAATTATCATGCCCATGGATCTCTTTTGTTCAATAACCACAGGCTGTAGAACAGTTTGCTGCGGTCCATCTTCCCAAAAGAGTACCTCAACTTAACAGTATACAAAGTTTTATATGAGAATGTGCGTCTATGTGATTGGTTAAAACTGATAGGGAGAAATCATAATTTACACTTAATTCTTCCTTCGTTGGTGCCCCAACACTCTCAGCACTCAGCCTTGTCCAATTCAGGGGAGCAGCACCTGTTACGGCCCGTGGCCATAGGAAATCTGTGTTAGCTGCTGTGTTGTGTTTCTTTACTGTGTTTTAAGAATCTCTGCAGGTCTTTCCTCTAATAAAGAGCAGTAGGCTGCTGATTGGACCATGGATCATTGGACTGGGTTAAAAAAAAGCTGTTCTGCCAGCTGCCGGAAGAGAGAGAGAGAGAAGCGAGCGAGAGTGAACCGATTTGACAGCAGACTCAGACCTGGCCCTTTGTGTAATTTTGTATATGTGTAAGTGAGCTCCTTGAGAGCCGCCAAATGTGAGTATATGAGTCCAGTGCTTATGCGTGCATAGGCTGAAGCCGAAGGGGTGTGTCGCCTTTTTGTTTTGAACTGTTTTCTTCTGTTTCTGGGCCAGGAAGCGAGGGATAGTTATTGTTATTTGTTTGTTTTGTTTCTTTCTTAGGGTTTAGTTAGTTTTCTCTGGTGGGACTTAGTTGGTTTTGTTTATTATTTTGGCCTGGGCTCACCTTGGAGTTGTGCTTCTTGTTACTTAATAAAATCACCTTTGTTTTTTTACTCATAACCGGGTTCATTGTTTGGCTTGGGAACCAGGGGGGGTACTTGCTTCTCTCTCCTCAGAATCTTATGTGCGTTTCTACACGCCTAGACTAGCGGCGTAACAGCACCTAAAAAGGGAAGTCTGCTACATGAGTACTAAATGCTTTTCCCTATTCTCTCATCTTTCACCCAATAACATGCTGTCCTAGTGACCGTAAAAGCAACCCTGACTGAGACTCCAGATATTGTTTTGTCTCAAGTAGTCCCAATGACCCACCTTATCATCTGTATTTAGACAGAAAGTGTAGAGGTTTAAAGGTGAAGGGACACTGTCTGCATGTCTAAATTCACAAGCTATTGTTCATTATTATACCTAACATAGGTACCACTCACTCAACGCTCAGGGGAGCTGACCACCTGCTGGACACCATGAAGGCTATTCCAATTCACAGTCCTGCCTTTTGGATTACGTAGGGCCCCTGCAACATTTCAGAGGCTGATGGATGAGGTACTGTGTGTTTTGTCAGAGTTCACTGCAGCGTATCTTGATGATATTATGACATATAGCTATACCTGAGACGAACCCCTCAAACATCTAGCAAAGGTATGAGGGCATCTCCAAGCAACTGTGCTAACTGTTAATCCATCAAAATGTGTCTTTGTCGAAGATGAAACTGAATATCTGGGATTTGTCATAGGAAATGGGGTGATAAACCGCAAGTAAGCAAAATTGGTGCTATTGAGTCCTGCCCTTTGCCACAGACAAGAAAACTTACATCTTTTCTTGGCATGGCAGGGTTCTACCACCGATGTATCCCTATTTATCCCTCTCTGCCAGGGCGTCTCCCCCTCACCAATGTAATAGGCTCTAGGTGTCCTAACTAGATTTGGTGGACGGAGGAGACAGAGGCAATGCTCCAGTCACTGAATAAGAGTACAGACTTGTATAGCCCAAATTTTGTTTTAATCTTCAAACTGATGCTTCGGATAAGGGTCCGGGGGCTGTTTTTCTACAGGGACCACTGGATGAATGACACCGAGTGGCTTTCGTTAGCCGCAAGATGTTCCCAAGAGAGATGAGCTATTCGACAGTTTCTGTCATTTTGAATTATTTTTGTAGTAACTTTGTTTTGCAGTATAATAAAACCCATTTCTTGAAGATTAAACCTGTACCTGTATGTTCTTGGCTGCTTGCTCCTTGATAGTTATAGATTGAAGAAGGCTCTTGGATGAGAAGTAAAATGTCTTCAGGAACTTGAAGTCCAGCGGCCCTCTTTTTCCAAGCTCTTAAGAGTGTTAGATGTATTATTTGTGAATTTTACTGAAATTATCAAAATTAAAAAAAAAAAAAATCTAAATTCAATGAATATTTTTTATGCAGTAGTAAAATGTTAAACATTTGATATGTTTTCTATTTTCTATTGTGAATTATGAGTTTATGAGATTTGCAAATAAAATATTCGGTTTTTATTTATATTTTACTTTTTTTCTGGAATTGGGGTTGGTCTTGGTCTGACTTGGAGATGCCTGGATCACCTCATCTAGCTCCTTTTGATGTGGAAGAGCAGCGCCTCTGCTCAGAGTCCCTCCCGAATGACCGAGCTCCTCACCCCATCTCTAAGCGAGAGCCCAGCCACATTATGTCTTCCTAAATACGTATCACATTGAAATAAGAATAACTGAGAAAGCTTGTCTTGATGTATACTTAAGTAAAGCTCAGTAGGTGTGCAGTCATGGAGTACTCATTTGTGAATTGTCATAAAGTAAAATATTTATTGCTTTGATTAACTGCAGAGTTTTAAATTTGATCAGAATTACAGCTTTCAGGTTGCATCTGTGATCATTATACTTCATTTATGGAAGCCTACTAGTGAAAGAAGATGGGGGAAAAAAATGCACATACGATTTATTAAGCAGGTAATGTAAATCTTTAATGATGCTAATTTACTTAAATGACATCAGCATTCATTCCAATAATTAATCAACTTTGCATTCCAACAACAGTTTATAGTTCAGATAATGATCAAATTTAAGGCTTACGTTTATTCTAATACTTTATTGTCTCTAACTTAGTATGCTCCTTAATGAGTGTTACGTGTTGCAGGTTTCCATTCATATAACACAGGACAGATATCAGGATCATTTCTGCATGTTTCTACTCAGTTTGTTTCAACAATAGCAACAATAAAACAACAATAACAATAAAAAGAACAAAACCTGTCTTTTCTCTCTGTATCTACTGAATCTACTTTGAAATGGAACTGGAGATTGCCGGTCGAATCAGCTCTTCCATTAATAGAGCAAGAGTGTGGCACAACTGTTTAGCCTGAAACAGATATTTAAAAATTAAATTAGACTTGAATGCAAAAATCTTTTGACAACTTTTTTGGTGATGTGTGTCCCTGACACCAAATTAGAAGTTAACCCACTGCACAAAATCATTGACAAGCATTTTGACATGTGAGTAATCATTTATTGAAAAAGTCTTTAAATGAGAGGATTTATAACACTGGAGAAAGTAAATGGATGTTTTTTTTAATGTATTAAGGGATGCTTTGGTCAAATGTTAAAACAACTGATTGAATAAAAGATTAATTGGAAATGCCAAATTATGGAAAACAAATAGTATGAAAAACCCGCAGAAGTATCAGGACATTTTTATCCTCTAATACGACTGTGGAACATACCAAGATGCCAAACGAGGAAAATGCTTTTTCGTTCCAGAAAAATACAAAACACACACAGTGAAATAAAAACAGATCAAAAAGTCATTACCTGTTTGAGACGAATGGTGATTTTTTTGGGAGCAGCTGGATTGCCATAGTCAATGTCCACGGCTGGCACCTTGCCTTTTTTATTGGGGTGAATGGTGCGCATGAACTGAACATCAGTCAGAGGAATCCGAAACACTTGCTCCTGCATCAAACAGAGACAACAACAAAACAGCTGATATGATGTATCATACACCTTTTGCTTAGCATTAGCAGAGAGATTTGTGACTTGACACAGGACAAATTATGCTTCAGACTGGATCTTAGACTTATTTAATGAAAAAAAAACACTAAACTCTATGAAAAAATCATCAGGTTCAGAAAAGAAGAACAGAAGGCAAGAGACACTCTTTAAAAGACCAGCACCTGTGTTTTGGAGTGTAGGAACAGCACTCCTTCCTGGTTGATGCAGACCACACACGGAGAAGGACAACCACGCTGGCTCACCTTCTCAGCCAGGAAAGTGTTGGATCCAAACAGGGGCAGAGAACTCAGAACCTCTGAAAAATACAGAATTTAGACAAATATTATCAACAGAGGAGGAGGAGGAGAAAAGATGAGCTAGAGAAGAGATACTACCTACCAATGAATTGTACTTTAGCATGTTGAGGGCTAAGGGACTGCATGGCAGCAATCCGGCCCTGACAGAAAGTGAGGATCTCCTCCACTTTGTTACGGAGCCCAGTCTGTGAAGGCAGGTACCCCTTTATTTCTGACCTTAAAGAGAAATGCACAAATCAGTATATACATACTGTACATTTACTAACATTACATACATGATGTTAGTGACATGTTTCAAAGAATAAAATTTGCCAGAAAGTTTTTCAAAAGTGTTTCTCTTTATTGTCCGGGAACACTGTATTCAGTGCTTACAATACAAATCAGGACACACCTACTCATTTAGTCATCAAAACTGGATAAAACCCTTTGATGGATACCAGCACAACCCTGGCAAAATCAAGTGGCCAGCGTTGAACTTGGAAACGAAAACAGTGCAGTTCCTCTACTGTCTACTTGAGGCTCTAAATATGTGTCATTGCCCCCAGACTATATTACTTCTGTGTCTGTAATTTGCCACGATAAAGTTATGAATATAACTTGCTAGCCTCAATCGCTAACGTAGCACCCCACCTTCTGTCTTGACCATTTTAAGTGATGACTGCATGATATTTCTTGAGATATTTGCAATAGTTCAAATCACTGAAAAATGTAAAATATAAAACTTTTTTTTACCCAATTATGTGTTATCAGACGGCTGTTCTAAAAAATAATAATAAATAAATTAAGTATCATCAAGTATCACACCTCTGTAAAGGAAAAACAACTTTTTATTTGTATTTTTATATTTTGAATTTAACCAAACAAAAATATGTTCATTAGTCAGATTTTTAAAGAAAGCAGAAACACAGACAAGATGGAGCTCTTTGAGGCAACAACAGGTGATTAAAGGTAGTCTTTTATAAACAGTCCACTCTTAAACTGATTATTGTGACTGTGTAACTCACAGTGAGGGCTGGTCCTGCAGGCCCAGAGCCAGGTGCTGCAGGGCTGACAGCATTGCTATCTGCTGGATTGTTGATGACCCTCCTGTGACAGGAGGAAGCATCAGTTGCCCGCTCAGATAGTCTGCAAGAAGCTACACACAAACACACACAAGCAGTAATGGTTAGATTAGAATAAGATTATTCAAGATACATTCAAGTCATTATGTTACCTGTTGGTAGTGGAAATCCACATAAAGGTCATTGATAAAAGAAAGAGGCATTCTCCACATCACTCTTCTCAGCAACAAGGAGCTTGAGTTGTCCTCCACCAGAAAGTCAAACAGGTACTCCTCAAAATGAAGGGGACGCACCATCCCATCTAAGAAGTGGGGAGCAGAGGAGTAAGGAAGGGGGCAAAAATCTGTTCATCTTTTTCTTAAGTATCCACAAACATCTACACTGAAGGGACAACATAAAAGAAAAACTTGAATGCTTGAACCCTGTAGTGAGGAATCCCGTGCTTGTGCTGTTTTGTTGGGAAATGGTTGGGTTCAGTTGTTCTGCACTGTATTGTTTTTTGTTTTTTTGTTTTTTTTATATACCTTGGTGTTAAGACAATGGCTTTTTTAGGAAAAATATTTCTCATTTCAGGCAACCATGACAGGGCTCTAGAGTGCGACCAATTTCTCCATGGTGCGACTAATAAAAAAATACTTGGTCGCACCGGTGCAACCAAGTATTTTCTCGGAAAAAAAAAGTTTCAGCAACCCTGAAAGTCTCCGTGTGTTCAACAACAGACACACATTATGCCCATGTCGTGTTCTAAACCAATCAGAGATACTCAGAGGCGGGGACCTCTGTGATTGGCCGTGGACCAGATATTCCTGCAGACCTACTTGTGTTTACGTTTGAAAGTGCGGGCAGATAGAGAAGGGTGAGTAGCCCAGGTCAGAAGTGTATGAAGTTGGTATTGAGAAAATATGAAAAGAACAATTGATAACTTTTTCGTTAAGTTAAGGCCTGATCAGTCCAAAATTCTGAGCCAGCGCTCTGACACGGAGCCATCAACCTCTCCGTTTTTGTCAAACACTGGTCCGGAGACGGCATCAGAAAATGAGCCACATACGATCGACTCCCAGCCGGAGTCCACTGAAAGTAAAAGTGAGAAAATGTATAAATTTCGAATCGAGTGGCTTGACCAGTTTCCCTGGCTAAGATACAGCCAAGCTGACAATATGATGCACTGCATTTATTGTCGCGAGTGTGGAAAGACCATGGCCGGCAACACTGCATTTGTCACTGGTGCTAATACGTTTCGAATTGAAACGCTGAAAAAGCATACAGCATCGAGAAGACACATTATATGCCGCGATAAATGCTCTGCCAAAATGTCCCCGCTCCCCACTGCCTTTCAGCGGCAGGCAGGAGTAAACAGGTCATCGGAGGAGGCCGAGATGATCATTAAGTTTAACATCGCCTACAATATTGCAAAAGAAGAAGTTCCGTTTACTAAGTTCAAGTCAGAAATAACTCTTCACAAGAAAAATGGCTTGGACATAAACCCCACATACAGCAATGATGTTGCGTGCGCCCAGTTTATAGGCGTAATCGCTGACACACTGAAAAAAAAGACGTCAGTGGAAATTGCGAACAGTACATACATGGCCTTCCTGATCGATGGAGACACAGACATCGCCACAAAAGAATGTGTCATTGTGTACGCTCGTATCTTGCAAAAAGGAAGACCAGCGAATATACTGATTGGACACATTGAGGTCCAGCATGCCCATGCCCAAGGTAAGCCATGTCATGTCACGTAGCCTATGTATATGATTAATAATATTACGTCGTGTTACTGAATTAACCATATCTAGCATATTCTTGTCATTGAAAATTAAACATAGCAATAATACATGAATATAGAAACTCAAACTGAAAAAGACTGCATTGTAAACTCTTGATCTGATAAGTAAATGGTATTTTTTTAAATTTGTTTAGGAATTGATGCTGCCTCAAAGAAAGCATTTGCTGCTCTTGGGGACCAGTGCAGTAACTGGTTGGATAAAATCATTGCTATGGGGGCTGATGGAGCTGCTGTTAATTTGGGCAGCAAAGGGGGTGTCAAGTTAATCATTTTGAAAGGTTGTTAGTTAATCATTTACAAATCAAAAAAACGTGAACATGTAAAACTGCGGTGTTAAGTAATGCAGTTAAAAAATTTGGGTACGCCTAACTTTTGTGCTGGTGCGCCTAAATTTTATTTTTAGGCGCACCAGTGCAACCATGGCAAAAAGTTAGTCTAGAGCCCTGCATGACTTTACAGTAAAAGCACCATGTGGGTACTAATATAGTGAAAACAAACAAGCATTATGAAACATTATTTTAATAATAAAAAAAAAGGTAAGCAACAGTAGTAAATGTGAGCCTGTTCTACCCTTCTTTTAATTTTAATAAAATTCTTCAAATTTTAATATTATTAATATTATACATACATGCACAAATATTTATACATGAAGGTGATATGCTATGTATAGTTTTTCAAAGATTTACAAATTACCTTTTAGAAATAGGATTGCAGATGTTTTGATATATTTGCACATAATAGCTTTAAAGACACAGTACTTTAATTTGAGTTGAACTTTTTTTCTGTGTCAGACAGAGATGTCATTATTCTGGTTTACCTTGTTGTCTAATGACAAGGATGGAGAACTCTTTGATTTCTTTGAGTTGGGTGATGCCCATTTCTTTACACAACTCCATTACCACATCTTCAGTGACCTATGTGAAGCAATAAAAATTACAGCATAGAATATTAATAATAAATAATATAAAGATGGTTTTACTGATGGATAAATAAATATGTATAAATAAATCTTACACTGAAGTTTTTTATTTGTATGGGAAATTCCACTCCTCCTGGCAGGTGGATAGGAATATAGATAGAAGTTTTGCCAGCCTGAAGAAAATGAAAACACACTCAAAATGAGATCTGCTGAATTAATTACATTCAGTTCATTTAAGGCTTTTCTTTTTTAGCTGGGTCAGGACCCTACAACCAAGAACAGGGAGAGACCTCTGGCAGAGCCAGTATCAAGGAGGCACAGTCATCTACTGTGGCTGGATTGGGTGTCAACGGAAAGAGAAGAAAAACAAAAACAAAAAAAGAACATAGAGAGAACAAGAACGACAAATGGAACAAAACATATAAACACATAGAGAGACTAAGCAAAAGTTAATGACATGCAATATTGGAGCATAAACACATGGGGAGTGAAAAAAGGGAGTGTCCAAAAAAAGCACTCCCCCAGCACTCTAAATGAATAGTAGCCTAAATAATGGATGATTCACCTAATCAAAGTCTAAATAACAGTTTTCATATAATGAAAGCTTAATCTTAAAAGAAAAGAAAAGAAGGCATCTGTCTCCCAAAAGCCCGAGCTGGCCCTGATAGCTGAAAGCTCTGCATCTTATTCTACTTTTACAAAGTGTCAGAATCACAAATAAGTCTATAGTCTGAGAGCAAAGTCTGAAATATTCATTATTATATGATGAGGCCAGATCAATCAGAACTTTGTATTGTTTGAGTGAGTAAGTCAACTTGCCAGTATTGCTTCTATCTCGGGATATGAGGGGATATTGCGGCGACCACCAAAGCGAAGAGAGCGCTGGAGGTTATCATGACTCAAAGATGCCAGTTCTGAGGAGGACATCATATTAGTGAAGAAGCTATTGAAACATTAAATTGACATATAAGTTTTTTCCTCATCAAAACAACTTCCTCTACCATGGTATGGGTGCACATAATCCTGAGAGATGTCATCGAGGTAGCGTGTGATATAAGGCTGCAGTGTAGCAGAGCAAGGGAAAAAGCCAGCCACCACACTGAGTAGTTGCCAACCTAAGGAACAGCTGGATCTGCAGATTCAAGATCATAATAATTATAATAATTGCAAAGAATACATCAAAGAAAGAAAAATCAACGTTGAATTTTTTTGTAAATAGTGCACTGTAATTATTGCAGATATGTAGCGGTTAGTGGAAGTGAGAAGCATGAATGATCCTGAATCTGTAAGGGATTTTTAAACACTAAAGATGATGCTAAAGAGCCAATTAAAAGAAATAATAAATAAATAAAAAATAATAAAATGGCACTATTCTCTTTTTAGCTCTTATATATTACAATCTTGCAAAACATGTAAAAGTAGAAGATGTAAAAGATGGAGGCATGTGCACTTATTATTTCCCTCGGCTTACTGTATCTATAAGGTGAACTGCCATGGCATTCACCTTTGTGAGGTCAGTGCTGTGTTGGGATGAGCCTGAGACACTGCACTTTTTTCCCACTTTAGATTGAGGTGTAATGTAACTGTAGTGTGAAACTGTACATGCCCCAAGTACAAGTACAAGAGACTGCCTAAAGCCTTTACCTTTCTTTATTTTCATCTAAAAGATAAAGACAAAACCTTCTTTATCTCTCTATGAATGTGGATTGCAAGTTATTTTTCCTTTTAGGCCTGCAGAAATCATTAATTAATAAGGAATTTTATCATAATATAATCCTCAAAACAGCAATATTACCGAAGTCTCTTACTTTGTTTGTATTCCTGCTTTACCATTTGAATTGCTTTTATTATTTATATTACTTTGGACGAGGAGCAGAGCGAGTGCGAAGAAGTTTGTCTCCCCAGCCTGTTGATCCCCGGGACCCTGGTGTTTCCCCCCACCCCCCCTTCATGTGTATATAGCGCACCAGTGTGATTAATAAAGAGTTGTTGACCCGTGCTTTCTCAGTCTGCGCCTGAGTCCGTTCCACCGCCGTGACACTCAGTATGTATAATATTATTTATACCTGAGAATAATACCTTAAAAAGATGATTTCTGGGTTATACAGCACATGATAACTGCTAGTGTTATGGTAGTTGAAAAGAAACATTAGAAGTTAAAGTAACTTCAAGTAACATCAGTAAATTGCATGCATTGAATAAACTTATTAATAAATGTATCATAATGTAACACAGTTATTTAAGCTATTATCAAAGCTCATCAGTTATAAGTGTAGGTAAAGCATAAGACGTGATTACTGAAAATCATGGTAAGTCTTTAATCACCTACCATTCAATGTTACTTAAGTAAAACAGAAAGTGGCAGAAAGGGCAGTGCTGGACAATCTGCCTGAACAGGTATGAATGTGCACAGTACAGTACAGCACATAACTTCATGCAAGCTCAGTCAATGTGCAATTTGTAAACAAAAGTTAAATTTGAAAAATTAAAAATCTCTTTAAGAACCCAAATCTGTTCAATCGCAGTTTACGGCTTTTAAATAGACTCTTTACTTTTGATAGGCTTACTTTTTTGGGTTGTTGGTAGTTTGCTTGATAACCTGGCAGAATATTTCATCCCTCAGCAGTTCCTTTTCCTTCCCTAGCTGAACAGAAGTGAGAGAGTCATTACTATTAAAACAAAAGTCCACCCAACTTACAGAAACTGTTTGAATATGCACTCACCAGAAGAATCTGCCTCAGACACTCTGGCTGGCTGCTGTTCTTCCTCATTGGCATGTCTCCCATGTACTCCATCATGTCTGAAAGGACAGACAAATGCGTGGATGAAGAAAGAACAGAAAAAAAGTTTCAATGTATAATACCATGTGTTATTGTGGGTACACTCACTTGTGAAACACTGAATAGATAACTCCTTGATTTCAGGGTCATTATAGAGAATGAGAGATTCCTGGATGGGAGTCTGTGTGAAAAAGACACACATCACAGTTAGCTTTTAGTTTTATTATTTCACAAAGCTTCATTAACACTGACTAGATTCAAATATGTATAATAAACATCTTGGAAATGCCATACAGTCTGAATTCATCATGTTCAACAGTTATTTTTGCCAAAGCATGGGAGTTACTCATTTGATCCACACAAAGTCTCTATAATATCCCTCAGTTTTAGAGCCATCGATCGCTTTGGAGTGGACAACGCCAAAGAATTTGTTGATTCTGGATAGAACTAGGTGTGATGATTCTAGATCATATCTATTTTATTTGTTAAAATTATGTGTCAATTACTTCTCGTCCCTTCAGAAGATTAAGACACTGTTTTGAAGTAACAAACTTCTTTGACACAATTAACGATCCACATGAATTAACTGATGCATTACATCATATATACAATTTCATGAGAAATCTGTGATTCAAACTAGAAAATTTACTATGTTCACAAATAATAAGCTGTGGCTGACAAAAGAGCTCAAGGTTTGTCTCAGTAAGAGAAAGATTGCATTTCTAAATGAAAGAAAATCATTAATAGCTTTAAATATTTGAGAACATACATCATTTAATTTCATGGTTAATATTGACTCTATTTGCAAGAAAGTTAATCAGAGATTGTTATTAGGATGTTAAGAGGCTTTGGAGATAAAGTCTTTCCAAAACGTTGTGGCTATGTAACCTTGACTGATAAACTTGATCCTTATGTTCAGTTTCAGTCTGGTATAGCAACCCGACTGTGGCCATCAAAAACAAAGCGATTATCAGAACTGTTGTATAGCTTTATCATTGGGCCGTTTTGAGGAAAGTCTGATCTATCATTGCTGACTGTGAACACTAGAGCAGGGCGATATGACCAAAAATATTTATCACGATATACATCTGAAAATTTGCGATAATGATATAACTGACGATATAATTGACACTAGACAAAACACTTTACAACTCCACAACTTTATTTGTGCAAAAAAACAAAACAAAAAACCATAAATGTATTTTCACTTCAACAAGCAGCTGTTTTTATGTGCATTAAAGTTATATAAAACTTTAACAGTGCAAATGCAAATTCCTCGCTGACAGTTTAACCAAAAGGCATTTCCAGTGGAAACTGGCCGACATATTCTCAGCATAACCATGTAGAATATCCACAAAACTTAAAAAGAGGTCATACACACACAGAGCAGAGTACGTATCACTCCGCGAGGCTCCGCCTACGATAGCC